TCTGGGCACTCTGTTCTATCGATTCCTTTGTCTAGCCCGGCACCAGTACCACATTGTTTTAATTACTGTCACTTTCAGAAAAGTCTTGACATCTGTTAGGGGCAGGTCCTCTTCCTTCTTTTTCAAAATCATTTAGCCTTGTCTTGAGTCTTTGCTCTTTCCTATGAATTTTAGAGTCAGTTTGCCCAGCTCTGTGAAAAATCCTGTTGGGATATTTATTGGACAAGGAGAATCGTCTTCATAATCCTGAAGCTTCTCATCCCTAAACTTAACAATTTCTACATCTCTCCATTTATAGACTATAATATTTTTCTTCATAAATATCTCAAAATGTCTTTTCTCTGGATTCTGTACAATTTTATTTTATTTATTTATTTATTTATTTTGAGTTGGAGTCTCACTCTGTCACCCAGATTGGAGTGCAGTGGCCGCTCTCGGCCACCGCAGCCTCGACCCGCTGGGCTCCGGCGAGCCTTCCACCTCAGCCTTCCAAGTAGCTGGAACTACAGGCGCGCACAACCACACCTGGCTAATTTTTTGATTTATTGTAGAGATGAGGTCTCGCCAAGTTGCCCAGGCGGGTCTCGAACCCACGGGCTCAGGCAATCCACTCACCTCAGCCTCCCAAAGGCACGGGATTACAGGCTGAGCCACTGAGCCCGGCTACAATTTTATTTTTATTGTGAATTATTTCCTTTTAAAAAGATACTATAATTTCTAATAAATCATTGCTAGTGTATAGAAACACTATTGAATTTTATATTTTATTTTTATTTGGATGTTGACCTTTGCTCCGCATGAGTTCACTTAATAACTCCAATAAAATGCCTGTAGAATCTCTTGGGTTTTCTGTATAAGTAATCATACTGTCTACAAAAGATGTCCGAGACTTTGTCTCTCATGTTTCTAATCCTTCTCTCAAGGAGTGGCGGCTTCTACATCTGACCTCTCCTGGCTCTCGGGCTGTGTGCCCAGTGGGTTGGCCCTGGGCAGCTATTACCTTGCACTGTCAATTATAAATAAATCAAAGACCCCTTACTTTCTCCGGAGCTTTACAGTTTACAAAGCGCTTTGGCTTCCATTATCTCACTGATCCTTCTTATCCCCATTCCAGGGAGTGGGAGTGTCTGAGTGGAAGTGGCTCAGGGCTCCGTGTCCAGAGATCCAGCTGTGCAGGGCACGGTGCTGACAGCCCTCTCCTTGGCAGACCCTCTCCTCCGTTTCTCCTGCAAACTCAAAAAGTATGGTCAGGGTGCCAGGCGTGGTGGCTCACACCTATAATCCCAGCACTTTGGGAGGCTGAAGCGGGAGGACTGCTTAAGCCCAGGAGTTCAAGAACAACCTGGGCAGCATCGTGAGACCCTGTCTCTATTTAAAATAAAACAATCAAGAATTGTCTCTGGCATTCGGAGGTCAGAGGTTCAGGAAACCCCTTCAAGGCTGAAGTCCACCGATAAAAGCAGGGGGAGGGGGAAATGTGGGTACACTTGGGTCTTCAGGCTGGTACCCCCAAACGTACGGAGTGTTCAGGAGGAATACGGAAATGTCCTTGGAAGTCAGAGGGTTAACATAGATGATGGGGGGGTGGAGGCGGGATGGAGAAGAGACCATTATGCTCAGTGTCCCGGCCTCCATGCGGGTTCTCCTCCGCCACTAGGGAAGGACTTCTGGATCGGGAAGATGGGGACGAACCGGTGGCCTTGGGTCCCCCCTCCTGCGCCGCCCCCCGTAACTCCAACGCTCAGCACGCACGGCTGACGCGCATGCCCGGCCCGGGGCGGGGCGCCCGCAGTTGCCCGGCTCCCTCCCGGCTCCGCCCAGCAGTGCGCAGGCGCAGAGCCGGGCGGGAGCCGGCGAACGCGCCCTCTCGTGGCAGACCGACCGTGTCGCACCCTTTGTTGTCGCGCTGGGGGCGGCGCAGGGCAAGGGGGCTGGAGATGTGGGTGGAGTCTGGGAGGCAGATGCGAGGAGCAGATCACAATGACGAGAATCCCTTTCCTTTGTCCCTCTCGACAGCGTATAGATGCAGATAGAGACAATACAGCCTTCAGACATCAAGAGACTCAGAGAGACGCTCGTAGAGGCTGAAGTGGAGTGAGATAGAGTTAACAGCATTCATTCATTCATTCATTCATTCATTCAGCAGATACTCACTGGGGTTGGGAAAAATCGGGACAAAGGACCGGAAGGCTTAAGTTTAGGCACTGAAGGACAGAGACGGGGCAGAAAGCTGTGGAGGCAGGTGGCAAACAAGCGGAGACAGAAAACCAGGTCTCTCTGCCAGGGCTGGGTGGGGGGAGTAAGCAGAGGCAAGGGAAGTCCTGGTCGAGGTCGGGGTTGGGGGAGGGGCAGGGAAAGGTGCAGAGACCCGCCCCCTCCGGTTCCCCTGGGGGTCACTCTAGTTGCTGAGGACTCAGGGGACAGTAAAGATGGGACAACTAGAGGTCCAGGGAGGACGCTACCTGTAACGAATTGAAGCAATCAAATATGTTTAAACCATAAAATCATCATTATTCTACTAGTGGAAAAAAACGAATTGGTCACAGTTTGGAGGGTGCAAGGGAATCAAACCCATTATTTCGAAACTGATAAACACAGGAAAAGAGTCAAGCATGTCTCCTGTCTTTCCTGTGTGAACTGTACCACTCGGGAGCCAAATCATGAAGGGCAGTTCCTGTGTCTAGAATTATTCCAGCTAATAAAAGAAGAGGTTGATCACATTTGAATATCTCCACTTTGAACAAAAAATAAAACTGACGGCTGAGGCACTAAAACCGCCAAGACCACAGAAACACATGATGTGTCTCCGGATGGAAGAACACCACCACCACTCTTGCCGAAGAAACTTGAACCTGAACCTGGTCAGACTTCTAAACCAACTATGATGTACAGGAGATAATAATGCACAGGAAATACTATTTCCAGGAAGTACAGAGGGCGGAGGAACATGTTCAAGACCACCAAAGAGATGCAGTCAGCAAAGTCTTGACTGTGGAAAACTACAGAAGCAGTGATCTGGTTCCTTCCAGGAGACTGAGAGAGTGGGAGAAAGAGACAGAGAGAGGAAGGGAGGGAGGAGGGGGCAGAGAGGAAAAGAGAGAGGGGAAGAAAGGGAAGGAGAGGAAGGGAGAGGGAAAGAGAGAGGAAGGGAGGGAGGGGAAGAGAGAGAGGATGGATGGAAAATCTATAGATTTGAAGAGATTTAAAAGAGACCTATTGATCAGTTGCAGTGTGTGCACCTTATTTGGATCCAGAAGCAAACAAATCCATTGTTGTTAAAAAAAAAATGATATTTATGAGAATTTGAAAACTTGAACACTGAAAATTTGATATTAAGGAATTATTGATGATGCCAATAATTGATTATGTTATATGATTCTATTTTAAAGATACACACTGAAATATTGACAGATTAAATTAAATAGGGTTGCTCACACCTGTAAACCCAGGCTGAGCCTGGAGGACTGCTTGAGCCCAGGAGTTTGAGACCAACCTAGACAATATAGCAAGACTCCCGTTTCTACAAAAAATAATTTCAAAAAATTAACCTGACATAGCGGTGCACTCCTGTAGTCCTAGCTATTCAGGAAGCTGAGACAGGAGGGTCACTAGACCCCAGGAGTTCAAGGCTGCTGTAAGCTATGATCTCACCACTATACTCCAGCCTGGGCGGCAGAGCAAAACCTTGTCTTTTTTAGAAAGAAAGAGAGAGAGAGAGAAAAGGAAGGAAGGAAGGAAGGAAGAAGCCGGGCTCGGTGGCTCAGCCTGTAATCCCGCGCCTTTGGGAGGCTGAGGTGAGTGGATTGCCTGAGCTCGAGGATTCGAGACCCGCCTGGGCAGCGAGACTTCATCTCTACAATAAATCAAAAAATTAGCCCAGCGTGGTAGCGCATGCCTGTAATTCCGGCTACTCGGAAGGCTGAGGCGGAAGGATCGCTGGAGCCCAGCAGGTCGAGGCTGCGGTGGCCGGGAGCGGCCACTGCACTCCAGTCTGGGCGACAGAGTGAGACGAA